GCCTGCTCTGAGCTCTAAAGTTGCTGCTGCAAGCAGGCAGCATAGCTGCCTATCTAATTTAAGGGAAGCTTAAGTGTACCCTTATGAGGTGAAGTGGCAGTCTGGCTGAGTACTGATTTGTAGCTGGCTAGTTCCTAGTTCCCCAGAGCTCCTGTGACTTTGCTAGCACAGACTCAGCAGAAGCTGTTAGATCTGGCCTAATTTTATAAGTTAATTTTACTAATAATCATTCCAGCTCAGCACTTAAAGGGGTTTCAGACATTCTGCCATTTGACAGAAATATCTGGTTCCAATAGCTATACTAAACATTGCTCTGCTTCAAAAATATTTTTAAAGTTAGTAACTATGTGTGTGCTAAATGATTAACCTCAAATTGAAGTAATTGCTGTGTCATAAGTAACTTATTAAGTATAAATTAGATCCTTGTTTGCAATATTTGAAGTAATTGATACCATTTTTCTTTTTTTTCCATGCAATTTTCAAGAAAACAAAAGTTCTTTTATGTGTGCATTATTTAGAGGAAATGTACAAGTCTCCTCATAGAATCATTTTACAGCTACTTCCTTAATGACGTTAGTTCAGAATAATGTTATTGGCCTGAATATTGCTCCATCATGCTTAAATTTGTGCAGAGTTCTCAAATTAGGTGAGGAAATAATACATTAATTGAGAATTAATTGCCTCTGTTGATGTCCAATTTTATTTTTGCAATCTGAGGTTAATGAGTTTAATTGAAGTTAATGTAGGGCGTATCCTCACGAACCTTCCAGGATCTGAGCGGCCCTATTGATTTATTGCTTGTGTTTGTGTTAAAGATCTGTCTTCACTTTGTTAGATGTCTCCAAATGAAGATTTTCGTTTCCTTATTTGCAGTTTTTCTCTTTTAGATTTATCTGGCAAATTGTGACACTATGATAGTACTATGCTCGGGTATAAACTCTTTTCAGATAACGGCAGAAACTGATTGTCTTATCTGAAGGAACTTCAGCTTGAAAAATATGAGTTATTCACTAATATCAAGAAATTCTTCTGTTGTTTGCCTGTTTGTGTGCATGAAAGAAACATAGAAGATAAATATGGTGTTATTTTTTGCATTCCACCCAACAGTACAAACCTTTTTGCTCTTGTTTGCTGGGAAGCCCAATTAAGGAACCTGCATTACAACATGGTAAGCAATTTTGGTAAACATTAGTATTTGGTCTTCCTGTCCTATCTCACAAATTAGTGGAAAGAATTAGGTAAATGTGATTAATCTATTTGTAAAAGTATCTACCAACTTTTGGGACTTCCATATGTTCTTTTCCTTCACAGACAGACTGTATGTTGATCAGTATCTGAGATAGACTTAATTAAATCAATATTTTTAATATATTGATCTGTTCCTGCAATACTAAAAGGTGAAATGAAATTATGAGTTCTCTGTTAATTTAACAGTGCTTTAGCCTTGCTGATGTCCACGGAGGCCTGCCAGTGGTAGCCATGTAAATAGTTGCATAAATTCTATACGCCTTATCTTATAACACTAGATTAAAAAAATATATACAAATCACCCATGCACAGATCTGACTAGGTGTTCTGCAACAGCAAACTGAGATAAAACAAGAAACTAGAATACAAATATTGTTCATTTGTGTTCAGATACGGAATGAAAACATAGGCCGTACTCCTAGAAGGCATGAGGCTGAGCTCCAGTTGAGTAACAAGTCTGTTCTGCTGCTCTTGTAAGCAGACTCTCAAAACACTCCTGAGTTTTCAGCTTCATCCCTAAAATATTTAAATTGTTCTCAGTAAAGCAGCAGACAGGAAAAAAATGGTAAAGAAGCTGTGTGAAGAGCTGGGCTGAGATGGTGCTGGAGAGAACATCTATTCATACCCTGAATAAGAGGGGAGAGGTAGGAAGGGTAAGGAAAGGCATGGGGAGAGCGGTGCAGATTGTGAAAGCCAGCTCTTTCCTACAAGTCCATCATCAGAGTTGCTGTGCTGTCCTGTCAGCTGATGCCGCTTGCTTTGTGTCTGCTTTCATTAACATTTTTGGGCTAGATTTAAAGTGCTCTGCAATCAACAAGAGCTTTTTTTCTTCTTTGATAGTCTTTGTTTTTGAGCCCTAAGGGAAAGACTTTTTTTTTCTCTCTTTTGTCTACAGCATTTAACTTGCTTTTGTAACTGGATTTGATTCGGTGCCAGAGGCTCAGTTCAGTATTCCTGCCAAAAAGCCCACTGAAGCAGAGGTGGGTGGATTTTTCTGATGACTAGTTTGCTTCCAGAAAGTTGTAGGTTTAGCCCTTTCAAATCTATTCATAATTCAGGGTTGAATTTAGTAAATAGCAGTGATGAACTAAAAAACAAACAAAGCATTGATGACGATCTTATTCCCAACATTTCCAAAACAAACAGCCTTGCTTTTCTAGTGGTAGATCGCCAAGAGTGACTTACGTACGTTTTGTAGACCCTTGGGGGCAAGAAGTCCATTGTCACATCTCAATACTGAGCATGTGATGGCCTTTGCGTTCAAATTGCTTTCCTTCTTTGTGTAGAGCAAAGACCTGAGCTATATTCCTATTCTCAGCAACGTGCTTTTGTTACTGATCTGCAGAGTGTGCCACCACAGGTGCTTTCCACTCTCCTCCTGAAGCTGTTTTGCTTAGTATAGTTAGACACTTACTGGGTTGAAGGCAGAAATCCCATAGCTGCTGTTTTAAAAGCTCTGTGATGTAGCTGTTTCTTCCCTTGCTTCTCCCAGCTTGCGCAGTGGAACGGTGACGCTCCCGAGAAGGACAGAAGCAGATTGGCCAATAGCTGCAGGACACCCTTCCTCCCGGTGCATGCTCTGCCTGGGGAAAAGGCAGACTCCCTGCAACTCTTGCAGGGGAGCCGGGCGGTTCAACCCCGAGTAGTGCTGAACAGCGGATGACCTCTAAAGGGGAGCATCCAAGTCACTGGGCTGCAGGTCTTGAGGACATCACTCCCTGACTGTTTTGAAAATCTGTGTTTTAACTGATGATCCTCATAAATGAGAGATTTTTATCTCATTTATGGGCTGGATACTCCCCAAGCTGCTTTCAAGTCAGCAGAAAATTTCTATTTTCATGCAGTCCTGGGGCCATTGTAAAAATGGCTATTTTTATGCTGAAGTAGTACCTGCAAGAATAAGGAAGTATTCATTTAGGGTTCTACTTCCTGGAAGGTCATAGGTATCTGAATCAGAAGAAAAGTGGAGAAATTAAATGAAATTAAGGTGACCGTGCATAAGCATTAGATCATATGTTCATTTAAAATGGTTATATAAGTAGTTCGTATAATTTAATGAGAAACTACAGAAACTGCCACAGAAAGCCCTTTGTAGCTGTGGGGCCTGTGAAACCCCATGAATACCACTGGCAACATGGCTATGGGAAAGGTGTGACTGAGACAAGCAAGCACACAGAAAAGAGCTATTTCTCACCCAGTTTCCTTGTATAAATTAGAGCAGGGTGGGTGGGGAAGAAAGCCACCAGCTAGAAAAAAAAATAAAGGGGAAATAGATTGCTTCCAGAAAGCAGGTGGCAAAGGACTACGCTAGCAAATGTTATAGTTCTATACATCATATGCCTTTAAAACATAATGGCTCACATTTATAACAACAGCTGGAAGGACTAGATTCAAATAATTTTCTCTCTGATGTCCATTGCAATGAATACTGCAGAAGGAATTATGCAAGCTTATAATACTTACAGAAATGTAACTAACAGAGAGCTACTGCTTGGAAGCTGAAGGTAGAAAAACAGTGATCTTATTAGGTACGTGGCCGACTTTTATGTTAAAAACTATAGTTTCTGATTCTGAAAACCTGTCACGTGAGTGTCGATCATATATATATAAACACACTATATATATATATATATAGACATGCACAAATATATGGACAACAATATATATAAACATGCATAATTAGCAAAGTCTTTGTCTATGTTATGATTGTAATGTAGGAGTTCCATTTTGGTTTTAAACTGTGGAAATGCACAAAAAAAAAAAGCCTCCAGATCTTACTATTTTGCTGCAGAAATAGTTCTATTTTGCTGTGGCAAAAACAAATATGCTCTTTTTATATCTGTAGCTTCAGGAGTTTTCATTAAAAACAAAACCCTTTTCAGGATTAAAGATAGTTTTTAACTTTCCTTTGTAAAATATATCCTGAAAAACTCATGCCACAGCTGAAAGAAGAAAGTAAAGAAAATGATCTTTCTCCTTCTTTCTCTTTTCATTTTTTTTTCTCTCTTTTTATTTTTTCTAGAAATAATTTAGAATGTGTGTGCTGTGTAAGACGTGTGCTCAAGTTTCATGTTTCAGGTAATCGTCTTTAAAATAATGGGAGTACAGATTGCATCAGTTAGTTTAAAAACTGCTATGCTATTGGTAGGGAGAAAATGGGATTAGAGCCAGAATTTGACTGTGTTACTGCCAGAGTCTGTATCAGATTTAAGACACATGCTTCTGCAAGCTTCCACGAAGGCTGTGAAAAAAGTTTTTATACAGAGTTGGATTACAGCTCTCTAGCTCAAAACATTGGCCATTACACTACTATCTTAAAAGGCTGCTGTAGCATGGAGCACAAAATAGAGCAGATTTTTTAAATCTTCTGGACCACAGATGGATTTTGAACGCCTATTTCTGTCCTGATGGAAGATATCTCAACTTTATTAACTGGAATCCATGCCTGACTACTTGTGAGATTGTATCTGTATACATGCAAATATATATCTATTTAAACTCTTATCATGAGTTTCTTCCAAGTGTATCTAAAAGCTTCTCCAAGAAATGACATTCTCTATATAAATTTGTAATTGTTTTGAATAGTAAAGAGTTAGATAACTTACTCTCATACGCTGGAATTCTTTGTGACTTTATAGCAGAAAATCTGGAAGCTTTCTTTTTTTTGAAAGGGTGATAGCGAAATGCATTTCAAAACAGACGCCTCCAGCTGTATCACAACAACTGCGTAGTAACCTGTGGATCTTAAACATCAGAATGCACAAACCGTGGGTGACTCTGAATATTTTTATGGTGTCTTTTCTGCATCTGCTGCAAGGATCTGATTATGAGAATGGATCTGTGAAGGTGGGTGATCTATTTTTCATTATTATTGTATTGTGTGTATGCCAGAAGTATACAAAACTAATGTGCTAGGTGGTGGTCTTTCTACTGTGTTTTCTTTGTGGTGGTTTAGTTTCACAGATGTTTAGCTGCCATAGAGGAAGAAGAAACTTTAATGAAGCTTAATCCGTACTCAGGGTTTAAGATTTTCTTTTGCTACTTATTAATTAATTAGTGCATACTCTCTTCCTAAATATCGGTTGTCCCAAAACCAACCAACCAACCAAAAAAACTTGTTAAATTAACTCCTTTATTTCAAGAATGTATGGTTTCAGAAATTAGTATTCTAATAATGATTTTTAAAATTAAAATGCTAGTTATCTAAAAATTCTTGTTCATCACTTGTTCACTTGTTTCTAGAAATCAGAATTATGTCTTCTTTTGTTTTGTTAGGAAATATTACTCAAGACTCTAAATTAAGCATGTCATAGTAATAATAAAGCACATCATTGCCTGTGAATTAACCTTTCTTCTGAATGGTTAACTCGCAGAAAAAAAAAAAAAAACGGGGTGAAGTCTCACCTTGAAGGTAAGATTTTTCAGATCTGACTTTCTGAGACAATGTAAGAACATCCAGGACTATCATTTCTGAATATCAGAACAAAAAAAGTGAAACAAGAGCCTCAGCATGCAAATGTGAGTGTACCCAAAACATGATTAATTCTGTGTGTGGCGCAGAACAAATTATCCGTTTTTCGTCAATAGAGCAAAACAACTTAAATCTTTTGTTTTCACTTCAGAAGACTTCCTGCTTGCAAGGGATGATCACACACTTGTCTTTAATGACCTCTATTTTAGAAAAGCAATGTTAAGTTACATGCTTAATTGCAGATTCCCATTGCCAGCAAAAGAAGTTAGTGGTGAGCAATGTGTGCTGCAGAGTGACTGATGACTAACTCTTTTGCCTGCTCACCATTCAAAAGCTTTTAACTGCAGCAATCACTTCTTTGAGAGCATTAAGACTAGTGCAATCAATCTGTACATATTTTACCTTCACAAACAGCATTACGAATCACTGGTTTCTTACATGAAGGAATCATTTCATTTAAATCAGAAAGCAATTTCTAACGGAGGAGACTAACCATTGTGTAATTGGGTATGATGATAATTCTATTTTTTTGCATAAGACACAAGTTTATTCAGCATATTAGTAAACCACTACTTAAAGTCCTTAACTGATTTTTGAAACTATATTCACTTTGCCTAGAATGAATGCAAGAGCTCTTTTTGCTACTGTGCCTGGTTGTTACACATAGTTTACAGCTTATTCACCATGATAGCATTATGTGTCCAGCAGATGCAGAGCTTTAATTGCTTTAATATTAAACCAGCTACTGATGTCAAGCAACCATAGTCTAGCCATAGGGTATTCTTGCAATATAAAACCATCTATTTGCAACCATTTATTTCCAAGGCTATAATGAAGAAATAGTGTAGTTCACAATATAAAGGGCTGTGTTTCACATGCATTAGCTGGTGATTACCAAAACAAAAAGCCATTTTCTCTGCTTGTTCAGGTTCTTTCTATATGGACATGGATTCTTGGTTGACTTGCTCATTACTTTTGTTTTGATGTTTTATTTAGTATGTTAGATTTCTGGATTATTTTGGCATTTATGACCAATGAGTTTTTGTGTGTGCACACATACACCCCACAAAAAAATCCTTCATTTTACAGTGTTTAATGATAAACAGGGCTACACCCATTTTTACTGATCTGCCTCAGTTTTAGTTACAGAACACAGAAAATATGCAATGTATGCACCTTCCTTTAAAGCTTTTTACGATCTGTGTCAATAATGCCAGAATAAAAGCCACAAAGTCAGGAAGAAGGTAAAACAGTTAATGAGAAGAAGCACAGAAGTTGCACAGAAGCAACTTACTGTCTCTATCAGTTATATTACTTCAAATAGTTGAGTGCTACACAGTAGATCTGAAGTTTTGAAGCTGTTAATGACTGGTGTCAGCGTCATAACGTTTGGGTTTCAGCAGGAATTAAATACTCCTTTAGGGCCCCTTCCACAAATATCCTAAATAATATGGTGAAGGCAAAGAGCTTACTCTTCCAAAAAAGCTGACTTTCCCTAACCCAAAGAAATATCCTCCTATTGTGGGTAGTCATCTCTTTTTCTTTTTCCTTTTACCTTTTTTTTTCTTTTTTTTTTCCCCAGGTCTGCACCAATGCCAGTTATTCCCTGTCCACCAGTCCCCACTTCTTTCTTGTCTCCCTAAGTGATGTCTTCCCATTCCTCACTTCAACTTCATTAGCTCCTGTGTGACCTGACCCACCATTAGCTTGCAGTTAGTTTTTCTGCTTGGGTTCCTTGGGTGATCTTTGTGTCTTCCTCCTTCCCAAGGAGGAGTTTGAGATATACCTTCTTCCCCTCAAGCCCGCAGGAAGTCAGTCTCTCCCAGAAGATTCTCAGTATCAGTTTTGGTCCCCCTACCAGTCCTTATTGCTTTCCAGCTCTGGTCTGCTTATTCCTACTTAGCTTCCTCTGCTTCCGTACTCCCAGCTCCCTGTTTTTTTCTTGGGGTTCAGGCCTTCTTGCCTTTCCTTTTCCCTAACCCCAGTTTCTAATTTTAGTCTCTTCCAATACTTTTAGGTCTTACCTTTTCCATCAGGGTTTATCTTCTTCCCCTTCCATACTCAAACCTGATGACTTCTTTTCCCACATTGCCCAAGCCCGGCAGCCTGAGGGCCTTCAGTTCTGTGGGCTGGGCCTATGCTGACCTGTAGCCACACACTGCTCAGCTCCAGGCTGGAGTGTGGTCAGTACAATTTGCAAAGAGTTTAGCTAGTAAACTCTAGAAAGCCTCTACGGAGCATCTCTGAGTCGCTGTTGTTCTCAGAAGTTATTACATTACTACATTAGGGTAGGTTTTTACAGGTACAGCAGTAGGGATATCTTTGCCAACAAAGCCTCTTCAAATATCAAAACTTCACATTTGTGATCCCCAACAAGAGAACGCTAGACACTTACAAAGAAGAGATTGTCAGGAAAGCTTTACATGGAGAAATAAAGAGCTTTATCCTCAACTATGGTCAAGCTGTTTTGTCTGGAAAAAAAATTATTAAAATCATCATAAGGCAGATGCTTCATGGAAAGTTTTAGTCTGAACATCTAGAGTGTGGCAATGTTCTAAGCGACTGAAACCAGAGTCTTGTGATGGGAAGTGGTAGGCAGCCTTAGTTTGGGACCAGCAGTCAGGCAGGTGTAAGACATGACTCTCTAACTGAAATTATGTCAATATTGGCAATAATCCCTCTTTATCACATTCTCGTTATTTGACTCACAGTACCAGTCTGACATACTGATTCTTCAGAGAAAAATTAGATTTCCACATGAGTTTTCTGAATACTGAATATTTTTTTTATCAGGAAATGCTTTAAAAAATCCCTGTTGAAATTGTTCCCTAGCAGTCTTTCATGTTTTGGAATCCTTCAGCTACAGAACCACAAACTTCACTGTCTCTTTTCCTGTCTCTCCCCCACACATTTTTCCTCTCCTAAAGAAATGACAGACATAGGCTACTTTTTCCATAATTTTAAAATTAGATGCAAAGAACTATGTCCTATATTCATCAGAGCCGAGGCAATTTTGCCAAGAAAAGCTGTCAGAGTAACTTCTGTCTTCCAACAACACAATCACCTCTCTAATGAGGCTGCAAGATCCTGATCTTTGAGAATTTGAGTCTACACCCTCTCTGCACTTATCCTGTCTGTTATATTGGTAATAAAATGTTAGGGGGAAGGTAGGAGAAAGGGACAATTGGTAATGCTTAATTTATAACAGATGCACAGCTTTCAGAGTTTTTTTGCAAAGATCTCTCTCTCCCTGTGATGAATTCTCCCTTCATTCATTAGAGAGAGGTTTATGGCTGATAGGTCTGAAGAGTATCATTGAACTAGAAAAGTACTTTCTCTCAAGAAGATGGAGGGTAATATATTCCCCTTTCCTATGTCTAGGAAAGGGGAATATGCTCTCTGTTTTATAAACTTCCTTTTCAGAGCTAAACCAATTTTTTACCTCTGCATCATGCATTGATGCAGCCTTGAGTGGCCATTTTTGCTCAACCAGGTTTTCTTACATTTTCTTACTTCTTCTGTTGCTACTGAAAATTTGATAGAGATGGAAGATGCTTTACCAGCTCAGCTGGTATGTAATACCTGTCCACTGCCCTGCTTTGCTGATGATTCGTGTGAAATAGCACTTTCCCATGATCTTCAATTCTTGGAGCATGGAAGTGTGGAATGCCCTGGCCTTGTGACAGAATGGAAATACTGGAGTACCATCATGTTGTGAGCACAAGGAATCGTAAAACTCTTTGTTTCTTTCCATCCTAAAGACATTTACAGTCCATCTGTACAAAAAATAGGCATCTGGGAAGGAACTTGAGCTAGTTTTAGAAGAGTTTTTTGTTTTTTCTTCAATTGCCACTGATACTGCTGTTCAGATAGTCAAATCCACCCAATAGTTGTAAACTTTGCTCCCTTTCTAGAAAAGAGATGCTAACAAATCTTCTATCTCCTAGTTATCTTAATCAAAGACAACTCTGAGTAGTAGTCACCTGCACAACTAGACAAAGCAACTTTGAAGATTGTAGGAAACAATTTCTCTCTTTAAACTAGACTTTCCATCCTTAGGTCCAACTTCCTTTCAAAGTTACCAAACTCTTTGAAATAAATATTATGGAATTGTGGTTTTCAAAAGTGCTTTATTATCTCAGCTTTGTGACTGCTGCTGTTGAGTCTTTGTGATTACAATCTCTGATCGGTATGATGAGCCAAAAACGTGTGAAAATATACTTACAACATTCCTGCAGAAATGACTGTGCTTTTCCTCCAGGGGTGGGAAGCTATTAGGAAGGCTGTGAAGAAAGCCAATTTGTTCTGGCTTTTATCTGCTACTGACTTGAGAAGCTACAGTGAAGGATAAGGGAATAATTTTTTATTGTTGCCA